TTCTTTGTTATGTAGGTGGCTTTTACTTCTACATTCGCACAATATATTCATTAATTCATGCTACATAACTTTTCATTGACTTTGGCACAGGGCACAATTGTATTTTTTATTGATTTTCCTTGATTTCCCCGAATTTATTTCGTATAATGCAATAGCCAACTGCGTTTTCCTACTTTTGTCTAAGGAACGTATCCATCAACCAAATTTCTTAATTTTATCTAATCGAAAGTCTCCAATGTTATTTTATCGATTTTTATTATTTACATTATTTAGTCAACTAATAAAACTATTCTCTCAAGTGAAAATGCGCGACAATTACTACTGACAAATTTTTAGCTGCATTTTCACCAGCATTTTAGAAGTGTTTATTTTTGAATCGAAATATATTCACTTGCTTCCTATCTACTGCATTTCGTTTGCATTGGATATAAGATATATTAACATGCAGATTTATTCTAATTATCTCGTTACGTATGATGATTGAAACTTTGAAATGCGTTTCAGCAGATGGCCGCGTAAGACATGCAGTTATTTACTCTCGTACATCATGAAAGCGTCTGCTAATCACTGCTCCTAATTTTATTGTCCTGTTAGTGTTGGAGAATTGTTAAAGCAGACGGACTGTTCCTTTTGCTCTTTAGTAACATACAAGTTTAAACATAATGAGTATCTCCTCTATTTCAAACTTCATCTGTATTGTTCCGTTCTAAATCCGTCGCGACTGAATCCCGCTAGTTCTTTGCAAATGCCCTGATTATTAATGTTTTGGCGCTGAGCAGTTATTCACTAGGTAATAATAATAATAATAATAATAATAATAATAATAATAATAATAATAATGATAATAAACGATGTGATGGCAAGTGTGCCTTGATTCAGAATCAAAACCATTCGTTTTTATGTACTATTTAAATACTATTTTGTGGACATTAGATTAAATGTACCTTATAGCACTTTCGGGATGGGCTATGTCTATATTACGGTGGGTATTCATAACCCAAAGAAGCCGCGGTCGCTCCCTTTGACATTTACCTTGAAAGAGACAGGCGTCATATTGAGCTGGGAGGGCGTGCCATGCAATACAAAGGCAGTTGAGCCGATGATGACGACAGTGATGAATAATGCGAGCCTGTTTGGTGCATGGAAGCGTGCTCTGCGCGCCATAGCCCACGGAGGGTGGAGAGGAGGGAGAGAGCCAGGGCTTCGGAAGCGAAGGGGGGGGCGGGGGCGGGACCGGAGGCGCCGGCGGCGGCGGGCCGTGAGGTTTCCGGCGCGCCTTCTCTTCCGCCCATACTCTCAGTCGGCAGTATCGACAGGCGATGTATGGGCGCGCTGAATATTGGAGGAAACGAATAACCGGCTTCGGGGCTCTTGGCGCGACGGAAGCGCGCGGCCGTGATCGTATCTCCCCCCGCGGCGCTCAGCGTTCCACCTCCGGCCGTTCGCGACTTCATAGGCGATGATGTGCAGACGCCTCGGGTTGGGGGCGGGAGATGTACAGGGTGCTTGCGAACCAATGCAAAAGCAGATTTTACAAACTTCTAACTCGACACAGGATAAGGGGCCTAATAATACTCCACTTTACGTATGCCAGAAAATGTAATTCTTTCCAACAAGATATCATATAGAAAGACAAAAAAGTGCATTGTTTACCTTCTGATTTATTGCATAAATCATTTATTTTACCACTACACAAAGGCAGAAAAAATTGAGGAGCGAAATTTTAGTAAGGTATTTCTTAGCTTTAAAAATAAATTATTTTGTTCCAGATCTATCGGTTACTTAAAAAGTGTTATTAGAATTGTTAGAGTAGATTGTAAGTTTATGTTTTCAAAAAAAGTTTGCCTTATTTACTTCTAAGAATTTTTTCATAACAACTTTTGAAGCAATTGTTCAATAT